GTGGAACATCGTCCATAAATCGGTGTCTGAAACTTCTTTATCGATAAACATGGAGTAATGTTTCATAAATACGGCTGACAACTAGTTGAAGTTGCTGATAATTTTGGGTTATTGTCGGGAGAACCAGTTGAGAAAAACCTCCACCAAATTCTCAACAAAGAGTTGGCACTAGCTGGTATCTCGTTCTCCATCATAAAAAGTGTTCGTCCCACATCAATGCAAAAAAACACTCATGTAAGCTCGGGCTAGGCCTTGCGTGGCCTTTTATTTTTTAACGTCAAAGGATGGAACTCGAAATCCACTCAAAAATTAGGTTTAGTGTTTCAAGAATGTATATTTTGAAAATACGAGTAGAATACAAGTATGAACACAAAAGGTATCTAAGAACAAGAACATATGTAAGTATTGAACGTATACATTTGTTCTATAAGAATTCAGTTCTCTTTCTTCTTGTCATTAATCTTTCTTTTATAGGTCTTCGTAAAGGCTATTAACGGTGATGTGATCTTCGGCGAGTATTTATGATCAAATGTATACATGATGGTTTAGCTGCGTTGGAAACAATGAAGGAGAGGAGGAGTAACATTGAAGAAGACAACCCATCTCTCTTTGAATTCAGAGGTAAGTAGACATTCTTTAATGTGTTTAGACATTGTTTAGGTTAGAATTAAATGGCAGTGAAGGATTATGTACTTGATGCGCAGTGTCTAGGTTCGATTAAATGTAGTTTAGGTGTTTTGGTTGTTTTATAATTAGGTAGATACATTGACATTCTTGGTTGTTTTAGTTTTAGATAGATACATTAATGGCCATTTATACATAACACCTACTAAACTCTCATTAAGTTTGCCTTAAAAAGAGACCAACCATCCCTTTTTAAATTCGTATATCTTCTCCTTTCATAAAACAGAAGAAACTCTCTTTCTCATTTTTTTTTTAATTCCCTCTCCTTTGGTATGGATCCATTTAGAGAACCTTGTAGCTTTCAAAATCTCTTAAGTAGTCAACAACCAAACCCCTCTTTCTCCTTTCTCGGTCGTGAACCTAGTGTTGAATTCTTAGCCGCGAATGCGTCTGGCTCTGGTACTGGATGGCTTGAAGAAGCTGACGAAGAAGCACACATCATCTCTAACCGGAAAGAAAGGCGTAAATGGTCACCAGCTGAAGACAATGTGCTCATCAGTGCTTGGCTGAACACGTCAAAAGATCATGTAGTGGGAAATGAAGCAATAGCGTTTTGGAAACTAATTGCTGCTTATTTTGGTTCAAGTCCACACCTTGCTGGTTTGCAAAAGAGAGACCCACCTTGTTGTAAATCAAGGTGGGGAAAGATCAATGAGGGTGTGTGCAAGTTTGTGGCCTGATATGATGCTGCAACTAAACAACAATCCAGTGGTCAGAGTGATGATGATGTTTTGAAGACTGCTCATGCCATCTTCTTCAATGATTACAAGAGAAAATTCACACTTGAGCATGCCTGGTTGGAGCTTAGGCATGATCAGAAATGGTGTGGAGCTCTGTCGAATAAAGAAAATGTTTCATCTAAGAGAAAAAAACTTGATGACAATTCAGCACAGTCATCAACGTCAGTGTCATGTAGCCTTGGAGGAGATGAAACAATGGCAAGGTCTCCTGGTGTCAAAGCTGAAAAGGCCAAAAGTAAACCGGCTTTGAGCAAGGCTAAGAAAGGGAAGGTGTGTTATGACTTTCAGAACATGTGGGAGATAAAGCAAAGGGACTATGTATTGAAAGAGAAGCTTAACAAGCACAAATTGCTTGAATGCTTAATTGCCAAGACAAAACCATTAACTGAACTAGAGACTACTTTAAAAAATAAGTTTATTAATGATGTGTTGTCAACTTAGTTTGAGTTAATGCTTCAGGTCAATTTTGTATGATATGGGTCTTAGTTTGTTTTTGTTTATTACTCTTTATTACGAGTCTGTATGCATTTGCTTTTGCTGTTTTCTTAAGTATCTCAAGTCTGTATTGCTTATGTTTTCAATGTATAATATTGGTTTGTCTTTTATGCAAAACGAATGCAGTTATGATATGGGTCTTTTATGGTTAGTTTGTTGATATGCTATTTTCTTACCCGAGATTGGTTTATTTAAACATGTTTTCAGGTGGAAGAAGAACACCAATACAAAAGCAGCCTATTTAAACATGTTTTACCCGAGATTGGCTTATGGTAGTTAAACATGTTTTCAATGTAGCTTCTTTGTTTAAGGTTAGTATATTTGTTTCAAAATCTGATAGTACATACTCTTGACTTTGCAGGACAATAAAATCAGTGGCATGTGACACAAACAAACACCAAAAGAAAAAGAAGAAGGAAGTGACATGTGACACAAACAAACACCAAAAGAAAAAAAGAAGAAAACAATGGCATGTGACACAAACAAACACCGATTGCTGCTTATTTTTCTTGTTTCTTTTTCTTCCTTTATAAAGACTTTGTATCAACATAATATGCCATACATTTTCTATATGCATATGCTGCTTTGTAAAGACTTTGTATCAACAAGTATTTCTCGTTTCCTTTTCTCTTCCAAATTAAGAGCTGAGTTACTTTGTGTCATAACCATTTCTCACCTACCTTTTCTCTCTTCAAAATGGCTTCTTTTCTTCTCATAATCTTGATGATATGATGGATGAAGCATTTGATCAGCTATTTGATCAACAATTCGATCAACAATTCGAACAACTTTACATTCACCATGAAGGTTGCCAAGAAGCATCAAGGTCAAAAAAAAAAGATCCTACATTGAAAGACAACGAGAACAAGGACACATGCAATTATGGAACGATTATTTTAATGAAGATGCAACATATCCTTCTCACATGTTTCGACGCCGTTTTAGAATGAACAAACCCTTTTTCATGCGTATCGTTGATCGACTCTTCGCTGAAATCCCATACTTTCAACAAAGAAGAGATGCTACTTGAAGGTTCGCTCCACTACAAAAGGCAACGACAACAATTCGTATGATCGCATATGGTTTCCCAGCTGATGCAGTCGACGAATACCTCCGACTTGGTGAGACCACCACAGTTTTATGCTTGAAACATTTTGTTCAAGGAAGCATAAGTTTATTTGGAGATGAGTATCTAAGAAGATCCACGCCATAAGATCTTCAGTGACTACTCAATATTGGAGAGATACGTGGATTTCTCGAGATATGAAGAAGTGTCCGACGCATGGAAAGGTCAATATACACGTGGATCAGGAAATGTATCAATTTTGTCAGAGGTTGTAGCTTCACAAGATCTCTGGATATGACATGCGTTTTTCGGACCTCCAGGTACATTAAACGATATCAATGTTCTTGATCAATCACCAGTTTTTGATGATATATTACAAGGCCCAGCTCCAAAAGTGAATTACACTATCAACGGACATGAGTACCATTTGACTTACTATCTCACAAATAGTATTTATCCAAAATGGGCTACTTTTGTCCAATCTATTCCACTTCCACAAGGTCAGGATGCATCCTTATTTGCTACATACCAAGGAGTTGTACGTAAAGATATCGAGCGGGCTTTTAGGGTCTTGCAAGCTCGATTTGCTATAGTGAAAAATCCAGCTATTGGAAAGATAATGTGAGCATGTATCATTCTGCATAATATGATAGTTGAAAAAAAACAAGATGGGTATAGTCAGTTTGATGTATCAGTTTTCCAACAACCCGAATCAAACCGAAGTTCACAAGTGGATTTCGTGTTTTCATCAGATATGCCTTCAAATCTCGGGAATGTGATGAGCATTCGGAATCGAATTCGTGATAACAGTATACATCAACAGCTGAAAGCTGATTTGGTTGAGAACATCTAGCAAAAATTTGGAAGAAATCAAGAATTCAACTAATAGATTTTTTCCGTTTACGATTAGTATTTGTATCTTTAATATGTTGTAATATCTTTTTTTTTTTAATAAAATTTTATGTTCATGTTATGAAATTTAATCATTTTACATTTACAAAAAAAAGGAAAAAAAATTAAAAACCTTGATAAAGTTCTACCATTAGACAGGAAAAATTAAATTACAAAAACAGAAGTTCTAAACCTTTCAAATCAGTGTTTTTATTACTAATTTATTGTTTAGCACCCAGAAAAACTCCTTGATGGAGGTGATTTAACAGTAACTGGACCGGATATGGATCACACCTCTAACAATATGTATCTTTAAATGTTTTTTTAACTCCAGAGCAGCAACCAAGCAATTGCCTTGAACATAGAGAAACAAAAATGTGGTAAATTATTTATATATATGTGTGTGTCTACAACTTTTCCGGCAGCCACACGTTAGAGTAGGGTCTTCTTCACGTTATTGCTTACTATTCTCATAAGAGTTTCAATTGGAGTAACATAAGACAAGAGACTAGACAAGAGCGAGTCTAGAAAGCAAGCAAGGACATTGCTACAATTCCCACGCCTAAGAGTTTCTCCATCCATCCTTTGTCTACTTTTGATGTCACCTTTTTGTTTTTAAGTCTTACACTCTCGCTCTGTTTAGAAACAGGCCTACGCCCTAATAAATGTTAACAGCTACTATAGCTCTAGCATACAAACTATACATGAGAGACAAACATACAGTTACATTGAGGAGAGTATAAGAAAAAAGAAAAAGAATGGGAGGGTTTCCTTTTGTGGGAAAACAGACAAGCAAGTTGTGGTTTTGATAATCTCAAGGTCGAAAGCTGTACTTTGGTTTTAAATATTGATGATGATAAATAATTAAATAAAGTAAATCATCCATCACCAAAGAACAAAACCTAATATTCTTTTTATTTTATTTAATTTGTTTGGTTCAGTTATTAAAGACAAAGAGGGAGAAAAAAAAGCAAATCTTTGTCTCTGGGTGTGAGGAGACAGGTGTAGGGTTGAGATCAAATCGTGGAAGGGTGCGTCTCCCCACATATCTTTTTGCCGGCGTCTTCAACGGCTTTTTCGCTTCAACTTCCCCCGTCCTTCGACGTCGTTTTGTCCCCCATCCACTTTTTCCCTTCTCTCTCTCTCTTTCTCTTTCTCTGCTCTCGTCTACAGTGCCCATCCGCTAACACCTGCTTTTTCGCTGTCCTATGAATTTGGTCGAAATGCATTTCTCCTTCTTATCTTAAAACAAGTATTTATTTATCTCTATCTTATATTGGTGTTATTATGTTGCAGATATTGGTCTGAAATTCTCCTTTGCCGTCTTCAATCGCCACTTGCCGCGCCAACCCTCGTCTCGAATGTATGCACATCCCCTTAACCCTCCTCCTGTTTCTGTGTCTTTTGCGTGCCCTCCTTGCCTCTCCTTTTTTTTTGTATGCTTTAGTCTCTTTCTTTACACATCTGTCACTACTCTTCTACAGCTTTCTGGACTTGTTTTTTTCTTTTCAATCCTTAAAACATATCTATAGTCAAGTTCCCCTGGAGTTTGCTAGGGTCATTTCGTAATTATCTTGTAAGTTATTTCAAGCTGGATTTCAAATCTACTCTTGACCCCTCATTTACCTCAAACAACACTAAGTCTGACATTGCTTGAACACTTGTTACTCTCTCTTTTTTTTTCTTGGCTTATTTTAACCTCTTACTGTCTTCTTCTTATAACACAATAGCAAAATAAGCTGAAATGAATGGAGATAGACCAGATTCTCATTACACGGAGACGGGATTCCCGTATGCTGCTTCTTCTGCTAGTTACATGGAGTTTTATGGTGGTGGTTCGGCTCAGGAGCCCCTAAACTATGCTCATCCCGGAACAATGCATCATCATCCTCAGGTACTTACACCTTTCCTTGTTCCTATATAGGCCTTCAAAAATATGTTACAATGTTTGCGTTGAGTAACTTTCCTTACTTTTTTTTTTGTTTTTGCCTATTCTCAGGACAGCCTGTACTGGTCCATGAACACAACGAATGCATACAAGTTTGGATATTCAGGATCAGATAATGCTTCTTCTTTCTATGGTTCTTATGACCTCAACGATCATTTATCCAGAATGTCTATCGGGAGAACCAATTGGGAGTACCTTCCAATGGTGAATGTTGATGAGTCTCTTGTCCAAATCGGGCACACGGATGATCACTCTGACACTGAAGAATGTTCGTTATTCTTCTCCTGATTTATCTTTCTTTTAATCCCTTCTTGGACTTTTCTAAGCTAAGAATATGTCTCTGTTTGTGTTTTACAGGCATCGCAATTGAACATGATCCCGAGAGTCCTCAGGTAAACATCGAAAAGGTTTTTGAATCGAAATAGTGATGTGATTTAAAACACTGATATGAATGCTGAATTGCTCGTTAATGCCACAGTTATCCTGGCAAGACGACATTGATCCCGATACAATGACCTATGAGGTTTGTTCCAGATTTTTCCTCTGAGCTTTTCATTTTTCCTTTATTTGATGGGGATTGCATCTAAATGTCTTTTTGTGGATCAGGAATTAATAGAGCTTGGGGAAGCGGTAGGATCAGAAAGCCGAGGGCTATCTCAGGAACTCATAGAAACGCTTCCCACCAGAAAATATAAGTTGGGGAGCTTCTTCTCCAGGAAAAGAGCAGGGGAAAGGTAAAAAAGACCAACAACCTTATAACAATGTTGTTCATCACAGACAGGGTTGTTATACACAGTTTTCTCAAAAGCTTTGCGTATGATGATAATGATCAGGTGTGTGATATGCCAACTCAAGTACAAGATTGGGGAGAAGCAGATGAATCTTCCATGCAAGCACGTGTATCACTCCGAATGCATATCTAAGTGGCTGAGCATCAACAAGGTAGGTATATATTCATTATTTGTTCTTCGCTTATGCATCCCCAGTTCCAACTGAAACGTCTCCCTTTCCAAATATGGAATGCAGATTTGCCCGGTCTGTAACAGCGAGGTCTTTGGGGAGCCCAGCATCCATTGATTTTCTCCACTAAGTAATTGTTTTAGTGTAGTCAGCAGAAAAAATTAGTCTAAAAGAAGATGTCACACACTACTATACTACTCTCTCATGTTCAGTCCTCTCTGTACATGTAATTTTTCATTCTACTTCCATTTTCGTTTATGTGTTTTAACACTCGTACTGTATACTGAATGCTAGCTAAATCCATATACGGTGATGGTCCTAATCCTTAAGTTTCTACTTCAGTTCTCCCCACCCCCTTTCTCTACTATCAGGCTTCAAATGGTATTTTCTTCTTTGTTTGATTCTTCTCGTTGTAAGAAAACAGGCATACTACAAGATTTGAGGTGGGAGTTCTGAAGCTGCATAAAGAACAAAGGAGAAAGCCACCATTCTCCTTCCCTCAATTCACAAGGCCAAGGGAATATAGAAGAAACCTATTGGAATGATGAAATATAATTTCTTTATGTAAACAGAAACGAGGCATTCAAATGAGAATATACATGATGTCATCATAGTATATGTAACACGTGTCCATTTTCCTGGTTTTCCACATCTCCAGGGTAGATACATATATAAAACTATGCACACAACTTGTCTTATGCAAGAGTTTGTGCCTGGAGTTGTTCCTGCCAAAGACCAAACCCCCTGGTGGTTAGAGTTGCATCGCTTGTAAAAGAAGAAATATATGGGTTTAGGTTTTAGTACACACCTCTGTAACAAAGAAGGCATGGAAGCCATATGGGACCCTATGAGGTAGATCCACCACTGCCACTGGCTCAGCCGACATTGTTTTTGCGTCTATCACATTCACACATGATTTCCTACCAATTTTCAGTCACCATATTATTATTGTACCAGAAAGACAAAATTGATAAATACGAAGGAGGCGCAATAACTACCCTGTGTTTTCATCATGGACAAAGAATATCAAGTAACCATCATCTTCTTCCCCTGCATCACGAGGGACATATATAGCCTCTGAACCGAATCTGCCTTGACCCAGATCATAGATTCCTTTGATATTGCCTCCTACTTCCAGCATTGTTTTCCCTGTCTCAGCTTCCGCATGCAGATCAAACTTGATTATTCCTGTAACCTTGGCAATACTATCCAGGATTGTTCCATATACATATCTCTGTTTCCTAGACGACACAAACAAGAAAACATTGCATTTACTTGCTAGGGACACAATGCATATCAAAAATGCATATCAAGAGCAAGGGTGAACTCATACTTTCCAGTGTAGCACTCGTTGATTCTGGGGAAATCAACTGCAGATGCCGACAGTTTTTTCTGAGAAGCTGAGCCAGTTTTCATGTTAAATCTCATTTCGTACCTGCAAAAGAAATACTTGAGACGAGTATATAATTTAAGAGAGAGTACAACAGGTCAGGGATTCTTACAATTCGTTGCTAAAATTCTCAAGTTTTTCTTTCACATTGCCGCTGACCATGTCAAGATCTGGATTCTCAAGGCGACAAGTGATGAGGACGACTTCATCCTCCTCTTCCCAAGCATTAGCTGGATAAAAAGTAGCCATTCGCAAAGGTTTGATTTGTATATATCGAATAAAAAATTTGACAACTTAATCAGACATAGCAAAGCACAGACCGTTATGAAATATAAAGCAGTTGGGAAGCTCAAACCATCTAATCATGAGTTCATCCTTGGCATAGCGTGGAAGAACACCAAAACGAGCCTTTTTTGTTTGATCAAATGAGTATACCATTTTCTTCTCTTTCACCATTTCCTTGGAATCAATTTCATAATAGACAAATGAATCTAGGATTCTCAAAAGAAAATATAAAGAAGTTTCCATATTTGCTTTATAATCATCTTCACTGGTGCCATTTGAACAAAAACAAAAATCTCTTGTGTAACCTATAAACTTGGTGAATAACATACCTTTGGCCTGAACTGCAGAGGAAGATCCATGAAGATTGCATAACTCTCAGTAATAGCAAAATCGTGTATCATGACTGGCCCTGATATAGTAATTGGGACAGGGTCATGCATAATGCCATCTTCCGAGATCACTCTGTACGTGAGATAAGGTGGCGTTTGCGAATAGCCAAATGTAAACATTTCACCTGTAAAGAGAGGGTCCATGATGAGTCAACATAGTCAGTAGCTTGCGCCTCAGTATATAAGTGAAGACTTACCCGTAGCCGGGTCAACTTTTGGGTGTGCAGTGAAGGAGTGGGTCAATCTCTTGTCATAATCCATCATTCCAAGAGTTTGCAGGTCTCCATCTTCCAAAACTTTGACGACATCTACAAACCAAAAGCTTTGACTTAAAAGATAGCAAACATAAACCTTCTTCCAACCTTGCTTTTCTTTTGGTATATAAATAAATCATGTTCACATATCTGCGCTCACATTGTATACCAAAAGAAAAAAAAAACGAGAAGGGTAGTCGAGACTTACATGGCTTATCTGCCTCAGATAGTGCTAGAAGTTTCCCATGGTGATAGACGAGCGCTGTATTAGCTGGTGAATGGAGAAAGAGAGCTAGACTTAGTATAAAATAGTAGCTAGGAGAGAAAGTAAAGAAGGGAAGAAGCAACCAACCAGTTCCAACTCCATAAGTGTTGTCCAATACTTTCAGTTTGGTTCTCAGCTGTTGCATGTAGACCATAACCAATCCGAAAAACCCCTTAAGGTCTCCAATCTGCAACAATTAAAGAATATATATATAAGATTTGATTGCTCCCAGGCCACAAATGATATAAATATATATACACTAGATCAGTAGATAACCTTCATGAATTTGGCAGCTCCGAAAAACTCTTCCTGCTTGAGGCGGGATGTCTTAACATAACGAGAAACATAAGTTGCTTTCCCATCTTTGATGCGTACACCATGTATCATTCTGCAGTATATAAGGTGTGTGAGACATGAAGGAAGATTCGTGTAAGTAAAAAATGAAGAGAAAGAACTAAGCATCCCCCTAGGTTAGATTAAACAAAGAAACAGTTGGCGTACCCATCTCCATCAAACCTGCGAAGAAAAGGAACCAATAATAAGAAAGGGAAAGCCACCAACAATACCATTATGATGATCATGCAAACAAAAAAAAAAGAAGATGAGACTTGCCAGTGATATCCAGCGACGGGATCAAACTTTGGATTCGGACCAACCCTCACAAATTCACCATTCAAGCATTCCTAAACAAAAAAAAACAAACAAAAAGAGAGACGATTAGAACCTTCCGATGGAGAAGGATGGAGTGTAAAGAGTTCACAACTTACTGGAAGAAATCCATGGACAACGGGGAGATCCTTGACCGGAGGAGTTTCTTCCCGGACGGGAGCGAAGTTGCCGGAGAGGTAGTGGAGAGGGAGGGAAGCATCGTGCATGAGCTTAACGGCAACTCTCTCCACAAGATCGAGAAGCTTAGAGGAGAAACCCTTGGAGGGTTTAGGGTTGACGGTAACTATGCCGTCGCTGAACTTCTCCGCCATGAGTGATTGATTGATCGCAGGAAGGAAGGAGGTTATGCGATTACTCTTGACACTATTTCCCCCCACTCGGGATATAATAAGATCATGTATCCTTTGGCGAAAACGCTGCCACGTCGCAACGTAACTGCCCCATGAAATTTTTTTATTATTATTATTTTTTGGAACAACAATTTATTTATTATCTTCCAATTACTCTATACTAGCTTTTCGTCCACAATTTTATTTTCTAATATGGACGAATATATAAATTGTTTAAAATGTTATAATTTTAATATATGAAAATTATTAAAATTTAAATTTCACTTCAAATAATTTGATAATCGAAAAATGTCAATATATAACTTCAAATAGTTCAACATTATAATTCGTTTAGGTAATTTGTTGTAGAATTACTTTTAATTTAATATTAACTTTTGAAAAAAAAAAACAGAAAACATGAGGGTTCAAAAGAGAAGAAACCATTTTTTTGTGTAATTCAAAGACGATGAGCGAAGGTTTGAATAGCTATGATATCAGCTTTCTAATTTTTTTTATTTAAGTTTCTTTGATTTGTTTAATTGGTTTAAATTTCTTTTAAATTAAACGAAAATAATTAATTCTTCTTTTATGTGTTTCTTTTAAAATGTTTGGCAAAAAGAATTGAATATGATTTATTTTGGATAATTCTCTTAAATAGACATTTAAATTTTTATCAAAAAAATAAAATTTAAAAATTAAAATGACCAAAATAGTATTTTTTATTTTGAAAATTTTAAATTTTCTTTTTAAATAAAAATTGAAATTCTATTCCAAAACCCACTTTTCGACTCTAAACAAAAAAAATTAGGATTAGTTAACCAAAAAAGTAATTCTAATTTTACTAGGTTTGCTTTGGGGATGGTGCGTGGAGGAGTAAGGATATTTTACTGGAGAGGGATGATATTGCAAGAAGGTAGGATCATATGACATCATGATGGGTGCGATGAGTCTCCGGTGAAGCCTGTCACCTTTACATGCTGAGTGTGAAGCCCTGATATATTATGGGCAATGGAATACATGAAGATTGTTCTTAACTGGTAAAGATGGTGTTCTCACCTGATGAATGGCCGGCATTTTCTACACACATAAAATAATTTCAGCGTAGTAAGATCTTCTTCCCAAACTTTCGTGTTCGACATATACCGAGAGCACAAAATCATAGGACGGACAAACTTACACGAGGTGTAAAGAGTTCTCTTTCAGCTATTTTCTATGTCGATTTGTCACCTTCGGTTTGGTTTTTCGAACCGACAGAACCACTTTTTTAGTTTAGTCATTTGTTGTCAAAAAAAATTAACCCAAAAAATATAAGTGTATATTTACTTATTTTAAATTATTTAAATCTATTTTTGTCATTTTTATTTATAAGATCTATATTTGTGATAAAAAAAAGTTTTTAAGTTTACCTTATAAAATATCCCTTCTACTTTTAGATATGAGTAAGGTATTCAATCCAAAGTTGCGATAATTAACTGTATAACTACTTTTTAATTTAGTACTGATAAAAATCTAAAGTTATAACTATTGAGACCGTAACAATTTATTAATATGTCACCTATAAACGTACATGTAACAAAAATGTGATTTTATATGATTTATATATTCTTATAAATATAAATTTATATAATTATAAATATATTTATAACTATTTACAAACAAAATTTTCAAAATTTTATAAGTTTCTGTGATCCACCTCATGTATAAGTATTTGTTTACATGATTTATAATACAATCATTTATTTAAATTGTAAAAGATCAACTAGCCTAGTCTTCAAAAGAAATAATTGAAACGTTTTTGTGTAGCTTCAATACGTTGGCCGTAGGCTTCTATAACTTTGATATTAGCTCTGTGGATGTTTTTTTTACTTATATTTCTTTGATTTTTTTGATTATTTTCAATTTATTTTAAATTTAACAAAATCTTAATTGTTCTTGTATGGTTTGTTTTCAAAAATAAATAGGTCAAAATAGTTTTTGATATGAATTAAATATTTAAATATTATTTTTAAATGTGAATAGGGTATCTTATACTATAAAGAACAACTTTACTCTCTTCTCATTAACCCACGTCATTTTATGACGTCACTAAATGGATGAAGTCAGAGGACGACGCGTGTACATCCTTTACCAAGTTGTGCTTCGTTTGTTTTTTTCGGTTTATTTGGGCTTTCTTCTATATTTTTATTTGGGCTCTTTTTTGTTATTCAGTTTTGTATAATGTCTTATCCCGATTGAGAGAGACCAAGATGACCGATCTTCTTCTGTTTTTTGACCGATCTTCTTCCTCAAAGTCGATGTCCAAACTTAGGGTTCATCGTCTGCTTCTCTGACGATATAAACCAATCATGGAGATTAGGATGTTTAATGAGCCGAACCGTCATGAAGAATCTCTGTCCCAAGCTTTGATTGTGTTGTTTCGGTTCTAATCCTCTGAAACGCTACTAGAGGTATTGATTCGTTGCATTTAAAAACTTATTAAATCCTTCCACGCGTTCTTATTCATTGAATCTCTCTTTATTCCAGTCGGTCAATCTATAAATATTTATAGGTGAGGTTGTCTCCGTGAAATTCATTTTCCCCTTCTCTTTAGAATTTGAATCCCTCGAGACTTTTGAATTCTCTGATGGATGGTGGTGGAGTGAGAGCAGGTTGCATGCGGATCAGGTGTCTGTCTCACAGAGAGACATGTCTCGGTTATCTACCTCAAAGTGAAGAAGAACGCTATATGGCAAAAAGCCATGTGAGAGACTGTGATTTGGTGATGATCAGAATTTTTTCAGTGGATGATCGTCATAGAATTAGCCAGTCTACATATACATTGCCAAGGATCATCGCTTTGGGTAACATTTTTTACTTTTCCCAAAAAAACAATTGATGATTAGAAATCTCAGTTAGCATTTGACTATTGCTTATTCATATGTTAGGTTTGATGTGTATAATATAATGTTTGACATGAATGTTGATTGATTAAGAAGTATTGTGAGTTGAATTTAGAATCATAGAAGAATTGATCACTGTATAAACAATCCATCGATTAATTTGTCTCTTAATTTTGTCTTTAAAACTGCAAATAAGAGAGTTTCTGTTCAGCACTAGATATGAAGGGTTTTTAAAGACACCACGTTTTTGTGAAAGGGAGAAGACTCTGGGGGAAAAATGGATCAGTTTGAAGCATAACGTCAAGCTAAGCCTGAGCTTCTTCAGATTGGTCAAGAACAAGATGGTAACTATTTCAAACTCATGGCAAAGTACTTGACATTAAAGTCCTTGAGATTCAAGTGATTAGAGATTTTGGTTCTTTGTCTCAACTCAAACGCATTCATTCCCACATATTTAGCTAGATTGTCTTCTCTAATGTAACTATTATTGACTTATTGTAAAATGGTTTACATGAGGTTTCAGAGAAGAGTGGGGATTTAGAAGGACCTAGGCTCAAACATGTATTCATGACCATTAGAGGAACAACAAGGAATATGTGCTTATAAGCTGGAGCGAAGGCGCTAACAAAAGTCATGTGATAGAGGCTGAAGTTTCTTGGTGGAAAGACATTGTGTATGTGTGTATGTAGGCTATGAACATATACGGTCTAAAATCAACTCCAAAAATCAAAATCGAGCAACCTAAGCAGCTTAGTGCCAATTTTGTAAAGGCTGCTAAACATGTTACTCTCTTTCTTTGATTAGATTTAGTTAAGATGATGTGAAATACAGTTTTGGTTGCATCCCTTTTGTTATCAGAAGGAGTTGAAGCATCTCAGTTGAAAAGAATTGCTGAATTCCAAGTAATACAAGTCTCACTCACTGATACTTTAAGTTCAATAAATCATCGCATGTTACCTTCTCTACCATTTTTCTTCAGGTGGAAAATAATGTTATTGGCCAAGAGCTCCAAATCAATTAAAGGCTGCGGGTAAAATTTTCTTGGCCAACTTTACAAAATAAAATGTTGAATCATTAGTTTTTTTTTTTGGTTGCTACAGCGCCACACTAAGACTAAGATGTTATTTAACCATTGCAAGGAGATCTCTTTAGTGGTTAAAGCTGTCAGAAAGGTGATGCATCTGATCTCTACCCATTAGAGCTTCACCGCTGTGGCGCAAATAATGGTTGAAACTTTCCATTTTGATGATGAAATATTGTATCATCTTGGATTGTGCTTTGGTATATGAAGATTAGTGATTGTTAATGAGATCTATTGCTTGGTTGGGAGATTATCACAAATGAGATCACGGTGTGAAAAAAGTATTTGGCATCTTTAAGGCTCAGTCATGTAAATATATTTATGGTATTCATAAGAAAATAGCAAGTTTTTCTTCTTTCACGACTGATATAAAATGTAATATATAAAACTTAAAAGCACTACAATGATGTATCCTTAAACTAACGGTGTTACGTCTGGAGGTACTAAAGCAAACTAACAACCGCAACTCAATAGCAGGATCTACACAAGCTAAGATGATGTTCTGAAACATCTAACCAAAGAGACATATAACATCGTCCCTGAAACCAGCTTCTCAGAAATCTGAATTATACTACAGGCATAAGAACTCTGGGAAGCAAAAATCAAGAACTCAACATATACCAAAATTTAAATCTATTAATATGTTTTAATCAATCAAAATTAAATTGCAACCAAGATTTTTGAAAAAAAAATATCCAAAATATACAGTAGAGTGTTTGTTAGAATATCTTATAAAGCATTTAGGCCTTCATCACCATATATAGAAAAGCTATGCCAAACTTCAATATATTTTGTTATGTATAAATTACGTAAAATGTCAAAGAAAAGTATATAGATAATGATTTTGAAAACATACAAAATATGAATGATTAATTTAGAATGTTTTTTTAACCGAGTTAAGCTGGAAAATCCTAAAGATTGCTTCTGGTGTGTTTTAGTGGGGGTTATTGGTTCTAGGATTTTATAGATTTAGAAATCCTTTTTGGATTTTGAAATTTTTGACAAATCCACACATTTTAGAATCAAATACGTAGATTTCAGAATCAATGAAATATATTTCAAAATCAATATAATTGAATTATTAGAAATCAACGAAATGGATTTGTGATAAACGCAGCTTTGTAACAAAAGAAAATATATATAAAACTACAACATATGGTTTATCATTTTCTATGTCTTATGTTATTATGATAACATAAAATCTCTCACATACTTGTTATTATTGTCGTTCTCACTTGATTGGCATATTCCGTTTGTTGATTTTCAGTTCCAGTAACTTCCTCAAGATCTTCTTCTTCATCAAAACTTTTTTATTCAGAAAAGTTATCGATTCGTCAGAACTTTTTAAAAAGACTACACGTAAACTAACACACAGATATTCTCTCCGTTTGTGTCTTATAAGCAAAAGGGGATGCACATTAAAAATTAAAAATCGAGATTTGAATATATCAAAAATTTTAACATTTCTCAGAAAAACATGATGATGGTAAACAACTCTTTGTCATTTATCGAGTAGAATCTCCAGAAAACATTTGTAGACCAAAACTCTTATGGGAGATCTTTGGTAAATTTTTATATTAACGTCTACGTGTACATAAAACTAAGTTAGAGATGGTTGGTTAATATATTAGTATTTGTTTATTATTAGAGAAAAATGGATAATATGTATGTAAAATTTGGGGGAAGAAAACAATTATTAAGAAAATCAATAATACACTATCAAAATAACAAGGTTCAACTCAGTATTTGCTTTTTTTTTGTATTTTTAACTCACAAATCCACTCAAATCTATTTTAAAATCAAATCCTCAAGCAAATCATTGTTATTGAATAACGTCTAATTTTAAAATCTATTTTAAAATCATAGAACCAATAACAATGAATTTGAATATATATTTTAAAATCATAGAACCAATAACAATGAATTTGAATAGGGATTTTAAAATCATAGAACCACTAACATTATATTTGATTTGTATTTTCAAATCCAGTAAAATATACAAACCAATAACACCCTCAGGGTTATGTAGATTTTGGTTTGCACTACAATTCTAAGTAACATTTAAATATAAATTAAAACTAACATAAAAATTATTTTAAATAGGCTTATAGCTTTCTCCGGTTATGACTTAAAAACATCTAGGACTTAAAACATGCGAGGTTAGCCAAAAAGGGTTCCTATAAATATACACTCATACTCACTTATAGAATATATACATACTCATACACCACCATCAAACTTAGATTTAAATAAAATATTTAAAATACTACATATATAATCTCACGCAAATACAAAAAAAAATCTCTATAAAAATATAAACAAAATATATGGTAAAAATTAAAACAGTAAAAGTTATAAATATATTTAACAAAAAAATAAAAACTTAGATACATAAAATATAAAAAAATATCAAAAGCTAAATATATATATTAAACTGAAAACGTGAAAATCATTACATAGAAATTATATAATGAGGTAAATCTATTATTACATTAGCATTACACAAGATTAGGTTCATAGATTCTCCAACATCTTTGATTTCAATGATCTTCAATTAGGGTTGTTTTACTCTTCTTCTTCAGCCGATAAACGATTTATTTTTCCTTATGATCTCACGACGCTTTTTCGTTTCTTTCCTTAGATTAAAAATATAAAAAAATGTCAAAAGCTAAATATATATATATCCGCTGTTACCACTATTAAACTTGAACTTTTACATACAAGTAATAATATATATAATATTACACAAAAATAAAATCACGCAAATATGAATAATGAAAATGTATTTTCACTGGAAAAACACAGCCTAAATGGATGCTAAAAATTATAATAGCAATTTCATAATACATATATATTTGACAACAAGTAAAAACTCAAATACGTAAAATATATAAAATGTAAAATGTTAACCAAAACAAATGTAATTTTCCAGAAAACATTCTTAAGAGCTCATAGTTTTTTTTCTCAATAATCTGACCGCTGCATCTCTATCTCCAATTGTTTCCTATTTCAACATAAATGATTTTCTCAATATGCACAAATAAATCAGTTTTTGCCGGACAAAAATCTTTACAACAAAAAACATCATCCCATTCATTATATCCAAAGGATAACCAAACAAAGCATCATTATTTTCAACCACAAAATTTACTAAAACAACAGCGCGTAGTACTAGATAATTAATACCAAGTAGTATATTTCATTTTTTTTTAACATCAACTTCATTTATATTGATCGAGAAGTAATATAATCTTCACGGAGAAGATTAGTAGTATATGTCATTATATTTTTGATTTATTGTTATGAATTTTGTATTCTCTATAAAATAGAAAATAGTGAATGTTAATGTTATTTTATCTCAAAGCAAAAATTATTTATTAAAAATAACAGTATAAACTCAATAATTTATTTATTATTTGTTCGTAATAGCATTGTTTTTAGCTTAGAATAAATATTTATAAAATTAAAATATATTGTATATAAAATAGTTTTTCTTTGTTTTTTGTTTAATCTTTGTTCCAATTTGGAATTTGTTTTCTCAATAAATGGGTTCATCCTAATGCGACATGTGACTTGGTCATAATTTATCAAATGATAAAATTTATAGTTTTTATTTATAAAGATACTTACAACTTTAAAATTTTAAAGAATTTATATATGATTTTGTTAATCAATATTATTATCTATATTCATGTATTTTAGTATTTTTGTTTTAATATATATAAATTGATTTTAAATAAATATTTAATTTAGATATAATTTCTTATTTTAAATAAATAGAACACATCATAATTTATCAAAAAATTTATCAAAATCAACCTCAATTGTTGATGATATCAATTATTAACATTCTATAAAACCACTACAATAACTTTGACAAAGAATCCTACAAAAAAATGATACAATGGTATTGGAATTATGGATCTCATCTTCTTTTAACCAAATATGACTGATTTATATATCTTATAGTGTTATAAAACTGAAAACACTATAAAACTTTACAATTTAGAATTATAAAAGCAAAATACTAAGAATTCAATAGTTTTAGTTATATAGTTGAAATTTGTTGTAGACAACAAAATTATATTCACATTCAATCTAACATAAAACAAAATTTACATAAAGTTATAAATTATTTTAAAACTAATCCATCAAATCCCGCCCGTAGGGCGGGCCTACCATAGTTCAAATATAAAAGTTGCAAGATAATTGATTATTTTTATTCTATCAGTGAAAAATAAATAAAAACTAAAACCATCAACTATTGAAACTATAACAACTTTTTAATATTTCATCTATAAATATTAACCAAAAATCATTTAAATGATTTCTCTTTAATATAAAAAGAAACGTGATAGAATTTTATATGATTTATAATCCTTATAAATATAGATTTATACACTTATAAATATATGTATATTTTATTACAAACAATCCTTTCTAAACCTTAATATTTTTTTGTGATTCACCTCGTTTATAACTCTTTGATTACATGACTTATTATACATTTGATTTTATATAGTCATTTTAGATCTTATTAAGGCACTCAAATCTGAAAGTTAAATATAGTTCATTTTAGTGTTATTTTTATTTTAGAATTGATAAAAATAAATAAAATCTAAAGTCTCATCAAAATTATAACAATCTTTAACATTTCACCTATAAGCATGGTATAGTCACTTAGGTGATTTAAAACAGTAATTTTGGTTAATATATTTTTTATGGGTTTCTCTACATAATCACTACAAATATGTATAAAAAAATTAAACTTGGTCATTAACGTATATTAAAGTATATTATCAATAGATGTCCACTAATGTTTGTTAGAATATGTTAGAATGGTACCAAAAGTTTAAGTTGACTAGTGGTAATATTGTTGAAACTATACCTATCCAACTGAGTTCAAGTAAATGTAATGATACATTTTTAAAAGAGACTCT